ACCGCGTAACATTTGATGTTCCTGCGACGGAACAACTGAGCAGGGCTATTCACGTTGTCAAAAGATCGGCCATCAGTCATCACTATGGCAACCTAAAAAAGAGACAAAATTCTTAATTTTAAAACCAGGATTTTCTTATCATGTCATGCCATCATCGTCATCATCATCGTCGTCATCATCATCATCATTATCATTATCATCATCATCATCATCAATTCTCATTCTAACGAGAATACCAAAAACTAATTAAAAGTTAATTTCCAGCTTAGTAGCGATTGTTGACACCAAAACTAAATTCCCTTTATCAAAACAAAAAAGAAAGAAAAATAGATTTACCTTCCGAACTCCTCTCCGCGCATATCTAAACACCCGGCTATAACAATACCGCATAGCATATCCGGTCTTGGTTCCACCCCTGGGGTATCTTATGCGGCTTATGGCATTTAGAAGCTGATTCTTACGACGGTAATATCGATTAAACCCGAAGATAAGCCGAGGACTAGACGAGTACAAAACGATTCCGATACGGGTCTGCCCATTGCGGATGTGAAACTTGCTGACAATCGCTTTCACGAAGTTGAGACATCGTCGGAAGTTTCCTCTGCCTTATTGCTCAATACTTCCTGAACCATCGATGATAAAAGCCAAATCGACCCGGGCAGTGCAGCCTGTGAAGAACAACAAAGCTTGTTCAGTATTACTTCCAATGCAGTCAGAAAAAAGCTAATAATATGGCTGTCGGAGGTGACTTTTTCCCTGGGATCAACTGTTCACTTGTTTGTGCCGTTTCTTCGTTCTTTGGTGCTTCGTTGTCTTTCACTCGCTCTCTTGTTGGTTAATTCCTTTGCTTGTTCACTCTTTCGGTTGAATGATCAATCGGCCAGTTAGTAAGTTGTTTTAGTGGACGAGGAACAGGAAGTAGAGGACTGTTTTTATGTTAAGGGTGTATCTCCTAGCCTCGTCCAGGCGTTCAGTTGGTTCGAGCGCAGCGCGAAAAATCGGCGGAGAGCGAAATAAAGGAAAGAGAGACTTGGTGGGAGCAGCGCTTCTCCCGCCATTTTTCGCGCGGCGCCCAGCTAACTTAACTTCTGGAAGAGGCTATATACCCCCTGAAACATTTACCTCTTCCAGGCGGTAAACGTGGCCTTATTGGTCGAACAGGACGTGCACCTAGAAACAAACACACAGCAGTTTACGGTAAGTACAAGGATAGTATTTCGATAAGTACAAGGATAATGAAGACGGATTGAAATAAAATGACTAGAAACAAAAGGCGAGCACATATTTCATGAATATTTCTCCAAGAGGAGAAGTTAATTGCCTGTACTTTTACAGAATTTTTGCAGAAATTGCGTGTCAAAATGTGAAATTTCAGCGTCACATCGTTGTTTCTTATTGCTTCTATAACTGCTCACGACTTTATTCCATCAATGTTAGTCACGTTTATACTGAGTTCGGAATTTTGTCGGAAATCGTCAACGTTGATCAGAATGTAACAACAAGGAAATTGAGTTCCTCTTATCTCAGAATGGATAGCAATGAATGATCTCTAGTCGTACCTCTACAAGCTCGTCGTTGAATGGTGTTCACAATGGAGCCCAGGTTCCTGAAGCCTGCTGTCAACACGTGACGCCGGTCTCCTGCCGCTATTTGTAACAGCTGTCTTCTGTTATATCTCCGACCGATTCCCACTGCGTAACATTTGATGTTTCTCCGACGGAACAACTGAGCAGGGCTATTCACGTTGTCAGAAGATCGGCCATCAGTCATCACTATGGCAACCTAAAAAAGAGGCGAATTTCTTAAATTCCAGCATATCAGCGATTGTTTACACCGGAAAACTTCCCTTAATCAAGAAAAAGAGATTTACCTTACGAACTCCTCTCCGCGCATATCTAAACACCCGGCTATAACAATACCGCATAGCATATCCGGTCTTGGTTCCACCCCTGGGGTATCTTATGCGGCTTATAGCATTTAGAAGCTGATTCTTACGACGGTAATATCGATTAAAACCGAAGATGAGCCGAGGACTGGACGAGTACAAAACGATTCCGATACGGGTTTGTCCATTGCGGATGTGAAACTTGCTGACAATCGCTTTCACGAAGTTGAGACATCGTCGGAAGTTTCCTCTGCCATAATGCTCAATACTTCCTGAACCATCGATGATAAAAGCCAAATCGACTCGGGCAGTGCAGCCTGTGAAGAACAACAAAGCTTGTTTAGCATTACTTCCAATACAGTCCGAGAAAAGCTAATAACAGGGCATTTTTGCCTTTTGCCTTTTCTTTGTTCTTTGATGCATTGTTGTCTTTTACTGGGTCTGTTGTTGGCTATTTCCTTTGCTTCCAATTTATTTCGGTTGGTTGATCAATCGGCCAATTAGTAAGTTGTTTCTAGTAGTGGACAAGGGACAAGAAGTAGCGTATATTTTTTATGTTAACGGTAGACCTCCTAGCCTCTTCCAGGCGTTCAGTTGGTTCAAGCGCAGCGCGAAAACTCGGCGGAGCAAAATGAAGGAGAGAGAGACTTGGTACGAGGAGCGCTTCTCCCGACATTTTTCGCGCGGCGCCAAGCTAACTGAACTTCTGGAAGAGGCTATATACTTCCTGAAACATTTACCTCTTCTAGGCGGTAAACGTGGTCTTATTGGTCGAACAGGACGTGCACCTGGCAATAAACACACAGCAGTTTACGATAAGTACAAGCAGAAGCATGTGCTTCTGGTACAAGGATAGCAAAGAATATGTGAACACGAACATAGCGAAGAAGGATTATAATAAAATTTATGAAAACTTAGGGCGAGTACAATATTTCATGAATATTTTTCCGAGATCAGAAGTTAATTGCCTGTACTTTTACAGAATGTTTGCAGGAATTGCGTGTTAAAATGTGAAATTTCAACGTCAAATTGTTATTACTTATTGCTTCTACACCCTCACATTCTCCTATCTCTTTTGTGACTAGGTGTCACATTAGGCCTCAACAACTAAAACATTATCCACGTTTATAACGCCGGAATTTTGGCGGAAAAAGTCAAAGGTGATATTAAAAAATGAGTTGAAACACTTTTAAAATGCAATCAGAATCTGTACCAATTTAGCAACAAGGAAATTTAGTTACATTCATTTCATAATTCACCCTAATTATTACTAATAATATTTTGGATAACAAGGAATGATCTCTAGTCCTACCTCTACAAGCTCGTCGTTGAATGGTGTTCACAATGGAGCCCAGGTTCCTGAAGCCTGCTGTCAACACGTGACGCCGGTCTCCTGCCGCTATTTGTAACAGCTGTCTTCTGTTATATCTCCGACCGATTCCTACCGCGTAACATTTGATGTTCCTCCGACGGAACAACTGAGCAGGGCTATTCACGTTGTCAAAAGATCGGCCATCAGTCATCACTATGGCAACCTAAAAAAGAGGCAAGTTTCCTAATTTTAAAACAAGGATTTTCTCATCATGTCATGCCATCATCCTCATCATCATTATCACCATCATCATCAACAACAACAACAACAACATCCTCGTCAACATCATCAGATCATCATCATCATTATCATTATCATCATCATCATCATCATCATCAGTTCTCGTTCTAACAAAAATGCCAAAAACTAATGAAAAGTTAATTTCCAGCTTATTAGCCATTGTTGACACCAAAAATATGCTCCCTTTATAAAGAAAAAAAAAAGAAAAAGAAAGAAAACTAGATTTACCTTCCGAACTCCTCTCCGCGCGTATCTAAACACCCGGCTATAACAATACCGCATAGCATATCCGGTCTTGGTTCCACCCCTGGGGTATCTTATGCGGCTTATGGCATTTAGAAGCTGATTCTTACGACGGTAATATCGATTAAAACCGAAGATGAGCCGAGGACTAGACGAGTACAAAACGATTCCGATACGGGTCTGCCCATTGCGGATGTGAAACTTGCTGACAATCGCTTTCACGAAGTTGAGACATCGTCGGAAGTTTCCTCTGCCGTATTGCTCAATACTTCCTGAACCATCGATGATAAAAGCCAAATCGACCCGGGCAGTGCAGCCTGTGAAGAACAACAAACAACAAAGCTTGTTCAGTATTACTTCCAATACAGTCAGAAAAAAGCTAATAATCTGGCTGTTTTGCGTTTTGCCTTTTCTTTGTTCTTTGATGCTTCGTTGTCTTTCACTGGGTCTCTTGTTCGTTATTTCCTCTGCTTCCTCTCTCTTTCGGTTGCCTGATCAATCGCCCAATTAGTAAGTTGTTTCTAGTAGTGGACGAGGCACAGGAAGTAGCGTATAGTTTTTATGTTAACGGTAGACCTCCTAGCCTCTTCCAGGCGTTCAGTTGCTTCGAGCGCAGCGCGAAAAATCGGCGCGGCGACCAGCTAACTTAACTTCTGGAAAAGGCTATATGCCTCCTGAAACATTTACCTCTTCTAGGCGGTAAACGTGGTCTTATTGGTCGAACAGGACGTGCACCTGGCAATAAACACACAGCAATTTATGGTAAGTACAAGGATAGCAAAGGATATGAGAATACGAACATAGCGAAGAAGGATTATAATAAAATGTATGAAAACGTAGGGCGACTAATTTATTTCATAAATATTTTTCCGAGATCAGAAGTTAATTGCCTGTACTTTTACAGAATGTTTGCAGGAATTGCGTGCTAAAATGTGAAATTTCAACGTCAAATTGTTATTACTTATTGCTTCTACACCCTCACATTCACCTATCTCTTTTGTGACTAGGTGTCACATCAGGCCTCAACAACTAAAACATTATCCACGTTTATAACGCCGGAATTTTGGCGGAAAAAGTCAAAGGTGATATTAAAAAATGAGTTGAAACACTTTTAAAATGCAATCAGAATCTGTACCAATTTAGCAACAAGGAAATTTAGTTACATTCATTTCATAATTCACCCTAATTATTACTAATAATATTTTGGATAACAAGGAATGATCTCTAGTCCTACCTCTACAAGCTCGTCGTTGAATGGTGTTCACAATGGAGCCCAGGTTCCTGAAGCCTGCTGTCAACACGTGACGCCGGTCTCCTGCCGCTATTTGTAACAGCTGTCTTCTGTTATATCTCCGACCGATTCCCACCGCGTAACATTTGATGTTTCTCCGACGGAACAACTGAGCAGGGCTATTCACGTTGTCAGAAGATCGGCCATCAGTCATCACTATGGCAACCTAAAAAAGAGGCGAATTTCTTAAATTCCAGCATATCAGCGATTGTTTACACCGGAAAACTTCCCTTAATCAAGAAAAAGAGATTTACCTTACGAACTCCTCTCCGCGCATATCTAAACACCCGGCTATAACAATACCGCATAGCATATCCGGTCTTGGTTCCACCCCTGGGGTATCTTATGCGGCTTATAGCATTTAGAAGCTGCCTCTTACGACGGTAATATCGTTTAAAACCGAAGATGAGCCGAGGACTGGACGAGTACAAGACGATTCCGATTCGGGTTTGTCCATTGCGGATGTGAAACTTGCTGACAATCGCTTTCACGAAGTTGAGGCATCGTCGGAAGTTTCCTCTGCCATAATGCTCAATACTTCCTGAACCATCGATGATGAAAGCCAAATCGACCCGGGCACGGCACGCTGCGTATATAAGAAATAAACAAGATGGTTATTGACCACAGATATATACAGTTATTACACGGTGGCGCGAAGATGTCAATTTTATTTTCCAATGGTAAAATATTGTTTTTAACACGAGAAAATACACTTCATATCTCTCAAGCCACCGTGTAATTTTCTTTTCATTATATAATTATACAAAATAACTGTTTGCACAAGGAACAACTGTGAAAAAGGGAGAAATGACGTCATCAGAACCCTCACTAGTGAAGATATGGCAAATTTCGCCAGTCTGGCCCCGGATGTGGTTTCGTATGAATTTTGCGAGTGGTGTATTTTCCAGTAAAACACTCGTGTTTATATAATAAATAGGCACAGCGCTCCACGCAACCTGAGATTTATATTTTTTTGTTCTTTCGAAAAAAATTACTTTCCATCCCTGTTCTTGTTTGATTGCATTGGCCGTTACTTCGTATATTTCTGCATCAGCAAAGATTATCCAAATATGCTGTTTTAAGCCAGTTTGTTTTCACGGAACTTTCTCCTTCCCGGTCGACAATTGTAACTGAGCTAAGCGATGCCTGCCGCGATGCCTCGGGCAAACGAGATTCAGTGAACCAATCGGAAAGCTAGAAATGTATTATCCGAGGTTGAAAATTAAGTTATAAAATATCTTCTGGGAAGAATAATTTGCTAAGTTAACTTAACTTTATTTTAGTGGGGTTAACTCATTCAAACCTCACCTCGCGGTCGGGGAATCGATCGTCCTGAAAACGAGAGAAATAAAATTGATAAAAAATATTCAAAGGTTGTTATATTAGAACTAAGTAGCCATGTGAAATGCCACTTTTCTGTATTCACAAAAGGTATGGAGAACGTATCTGTTTACAAACACTGTCTTTTGTATCTAAATATTCAAAAAGTTACATGTAACTCTTTGTTTCAGGGCCAATAGTTCTTTCGTTGACACATATATAACATTGTTAAAAATTGGATCATTGGATAATGCAATTTGAGTATTTTCATTGGCTTAGCCATCACGGATTATGAACCATTATACCATGCTCTACAAATATGCGTCTTTGGTTATTGCCAACTAATAGTTGAATAGTTAGTTGTGTACTCTGATTGATCACTTCAACCCTGAAACTGACTTTAAATGAGAGACCATTTCATAAAAAATTCATATGTCTATTTTCATATGGGAAATTTGTCCTTGACGAAAAGGATAATTCTGATTAGCTCCCTGGGCGGTCCGAATTTTGCAATACGGACCGCTAAGATGGACCACTAAGAAATAGTTTCGGCAATATAGTACAATACAATACAATACTTTATTCAAGAGAGACAAATTATGTGTTTCAAAACAAAATACCTCTTGAAATGGAAATCATGAGGTTAGCCCTATACGTGACAATTCCCACAAATAAAAAGCAATTCCGATAAATAAAAAACGTGTACAATCTAAGAACCATTTACAAACCATAATAAAATGCAATATCTATTAGTTTCCAGGTTAAAAATTGTAAAACATATTTACATACTAAACTAAGAAATATTTTAAAATTTACTAGAAAATTTAAAACTAGGACTACTTAACAATTGTCTCAGTGTGAACACGGCCATTACTTCTCCTATAGACAATAGCTCTTCATCACAATGGCATGCTTACTTACCATTCACTTCCCATGACTGGTACCTGATTAAAAAAATATAAACAACTGTTATTAGAAAATTAAATGACACTCTCAGTCTCTTTATGTAAAGTAATACGACAACGTAGAACATAGTTTAAATCAAATTGCTCTTCTTTTTCGAGGTTTCCTGGTTGACATAACTTTAAAATCGTTTAATTATATTTGTGCAAGATTTAAAATTTCATATTTTTTAAAAAATCTTTCCCAGTTAATTCGTAACTGTAACAGAATAATTGCTTATGCAATAGCACATCAAGAATAATATCATGATTTTTACTTCATATTTTTTAAACCTTTTCACTGAATGAAAATGTTTCAATGGCATAATAAATAATACCGCGTGAAAGTATTGCTAGATAGCTTTTATTTGAATGGTCTCAGACTTAAAAGTTAGAACCACCTTATACAGCATAATAAAGAGTACCACATGAAAGTACTGCTCAATAGCTTTCATTTGAATGGTTACACACTAGGGTTTTATCCACAGACTTAAAAG